CTCTTCTTCCTGATATATGTAAATTCAATTTATTTGGCAAAGTAATAACTAAGATTCATGTCATTGAATTTCAGAAACATGGACTGCATCATGCTCACATATTATCGATATTAGATAGTGAATCCAAATTATGAACAGAAGATGACATTGACCATATAGTTAAGGCAGAAATTATGGATGAAGACTAGTGTCCTTGACTTTTTCATATTGTAAAATCAAATATGGTACATAGACAATGTGGAATACAAAATCCAAACAGTCATTTATGGAAAATGTTCAAAGGGATATCCGAAAGAATTTCAAAATGCGAACACTGGAAATATTGATGGATAACCCAAATACAAACAAAGATCTGGTAGCACCATGTCTATTGGAAATAAAGTTGTCGATAACACTTGGATTGTCCCTTATAACCCATATTTGTGCCTTAAGTATAACTGTCATATAAACATTGAAGTCTGTGCATCAATTAAAAGTGTCAAATATTTATTTAAATACATCTATAAAGGGCATTATTGTGGAAATATTCAAATTTCTGAAAAAAATATTATCAATCATGATAAAGTACAGGGCTTCATTGACTCCAGGTATGTGAGCGCTCCTAAGGTTGTTTGGAGACTTTTTCAATACAAATGCATGACCAATCTCGTGCAATCACAAGATTAGCTATTCATTTGCCAAATGAATAAAATTTGTATTTTCATACTGATGATTTTGCTGAAGTTATAGATGGCTTGGTTTTTATTGAATAGAAAAGATTCTGAAGCATGTAATTATTATTATTGGGAGATTCCACAGCATTATGTGTTTACTAATTCTTTCTGGACAAAACGCCAAAAGGGTGGGAATAAAGTAATAGGTAGACTGTTCACTGTGAGCTTTAGAGAACCAGAATGATATTACCTTAGACTTTTGCTTCTGCATGTAAAAGGTGCGGTAAGTTTTGATGCGAACTGTAGGAGGTATAATTTATGAAATATTTCATGAAGCTGCTAAACAACAAGGATTATTAATAGACAACACTATCTGGAAAGATATGATTGACGATGCAATCATCCTTAATATGCCCAAACAACTACCTCAACTTTTTGCACACATATGTGTGTTTGGATGTGCTTCTGCTGCAGACAAATTATGGGATGAGAATAAATCTCATTTTATTGAAGGTATCTGTTGGAAATTACACTGAAGAGAAGGTGCCTGTGTAAACTGTGAAATGCATGCCCTTAATGAAATTCAAGAGGTATTCATATTGAATGGATGAAATGTTCACATTTCAAACTTCTGAACTATCCTTTATTAACGAATACAAATACATGTGATGAATTGTACAAGCGACGACAGGCAGAGGTTTTGATAAATTCTCTGAATGATGAACAGTTGGCGACTTTCAGACTATAACTTCAGCCATTGAAGATCAAACTGTACACCCCAAATGCTTCTTCTTGGATGGTCCAGGTGATAATGGGAAAACATATCTTTATAAAGTTTTCATACATTATATTAATTATACAGGTGATTAAGTGAATTAAAACCTGAGTCATCATTAATGATTTTGGTTTCTGCTTTGTTTTCAGTTGTTTGAATTTATGAACTTCTTGGCTGAGAATGTCATCTTCTGCTACATGGGTCTGGCAATGTTCACATTCCAGAATATCTTTAATGCCCTTTTTATACTTGGAACCTTTGTATCCTTTGAAATACAGAATAGGGGCTGACGAAAGAGAACAAACTACTTACTTTTACCGATTATTCTGTTAAATTGTTAAAGTAATTTCCTTAGGCTTACTACAGGGCTCAAATTTAAGGTATATATGTAATTTCTAGTTAAATGCGTATGGTTAAACATAAGAACTTTGGGAAATACTGGGAGGGGGAACTAAAGGAGAGTGACTTTTTGAATATTCAAAATATGCTTAAAATTATGAATCATTTATATTAAAATTTCAACCCATTCTTTACAGAGAAATATATTTAACCCGAATTAGTATGATCAGAAGATTATTAAGCTTTAGAAATATTTTCATTACAAGATGGTAAAATCTTTTTTGTAAGGACTTTGAAATAGGATATGCAAAGTAAAGAGCAAATGAAATTAGCATGATGGATATGTTTCAATATCTTAATAATTGGGCACATGTAAGGTTATTTTAATAAGAAAACCTTTCTTATAAACAAAATAATAGAAAAAAATATAAACCTCACTTTTAATGCAGAGGACTTTTGTAGTGCTAGGCCTGGTGTGTAGGCACTCTCAATGGGAATGGGTATCTGAACAAAAGGATACTGAGGCACTGGGATGTCCCCAAGGACAGTCAGTGGCTGTCATCATTCTTTCCACTGGGAAAATGGACATACCCACTCAGATTCCAGGAGATGACCTTATAGCCAGGAGAGTCAACTCCTTTTTCAAAGCCCTGTTCTAGCCAAGCACCTGCCTCCTGTTCTCTCTACACAGCACACTCAGCTCAACCCTCAGATTTCATCCAAAACCTGGGTCTTAGAAGGAAGCTCCTCTTCCCAACAGCTCCATCTCATTTGAGGGTAAACTAGACTAGGTAGACTATCAGGGAAGTGGTCCAAGATGACAGAGGGGAGAAATGACTACCACCAATACTTTCATAGATTTTAATGTGTACAATTTGGATTTAGTAAAATCCTTCTTAAAGCATTAGTTGTATCATATGTTTATATAGGCAATTTCTCTCAAAATTAAATCCACTAAAAGAAAAAAAAAAGAGTGAAGCTTGCTAGATACAAGGCCTATAATTGATGAACAGTGAGATGGTAATCAGGAGCCAAAGCACATTTATCCTTTCTGAAGCACTGCTCAGGAAGCATGCCACAACCCTGCACACTTGCTGCCTTCCTTTTCAGCAGAATTGAGCATAAAGTCAGTCTCCAGCAACAATAAATATGATGAGAAGATTTACAGAGATTGAAATTGGATTGGTTGTTGTAAACCAAATGTATTCAAATATAAATATATATTATTTCTAAAACAGAATTGGCATTGAAAGATGAATTTTGGAAGGAAGTTGGACATACATGTGTTGACATGTTTATCCCTGTTTTCTGGGTCATAGTATAGAGAAACTGAAGGAAATGATATTTAAAGCTCAAGGACTAGTGCCCTTACTAAGTAATGCTTTCCTCAATGTTTCCCAGCTAGCAATTCTTGTTGCCAGAGCCTGCAACATATATCCCCTCTCCTTCCTCCTGAGCCTGGGCCAGAAGCAGAAGGTCCCCTGGAACTTCCAGCATATGATGATGTTTTCAGGTATGTGAACTACATGCAGCGTCAGTGCTATTGTTCTCTCCCATGTTACTACGTGGAAAACCACAGAGACACGTAGTGACATTCTGGGGAAGCATGATTCCTACTTACCCCAGCATACCCAGCATCATGCTGACACTCCATAAATTATGAGCAACAGTGGGGTTTTTCTTTCCAGAAAACAAATGAAATTTGGAAATCTTGTTGGAATGGCCTCAATGTACATACAGCATCTGCCAGAAACTGGCCTAGAATAGGTATTTTTATATTGGGGAATTGTCATGATCATTTCAGAAATTGTATATGTGAAGGTAAGTATTCTGTAAATTATACCATCCTTGTCCAATGTTAAATCTCCTTCTCCTTAGAATCCCTGTTCCTTCCTTATGCTGAGCTCCAGGAACTTTTCATAGTTAATACAAAAGCAAATCATATCTAAGTTATTAGTTGAGAAAAACCATGCCCCTTTATTAGTTGAAAACACAAGTACTAATTGGCACCAAGTGCCAAGAGCAATTCCAGGGACTGTATGTGAGTCTGTCAAGATCTCTGCTCTCAAGAAGCTTATGTGCTACTTGCTTAAACCAAACCTGGAGGCTTCCTTTTCCAAAAGAAAATAGACCAAATGAATTTGATGACCCTGAACTACTCTGGGGATTGTGGTTTCTTTCTGTTCGATCAGTTTTCCTACCATTAGTCTTTCCTGTTTGAAGACCTTTCCCTTTACATGCTTTCTAGGTGTGTATACACTTACATTTCACTCACAGTTTATTGGATGATTTAAGAGAGTAAAACAGTGACAACAAAACACTTCTTCAGAATAGACCAAACAAAAAAATTTCCGGGTATACAGGAAGATATGGAAAATATTTCAGAAGCTATCATTTATTGAAAAGCTACTATTTGCTACTCACTACAATCAATCCTAAGAGGTAGATATTAACTTTATTTTCTTCAAAGTAGAAGCTGAAATTCAGGACCTCAAAGACCTTAAGTAACTGGGCCAAGGACAAAAGCATTCTTGAGCTCAAGTCTATGAGACTCCACTTTAAACCCACCATAGTGTTCCAAAATCTACATTTTTAAGTGTACTAGAAATAAAGAACTTGTTTCACCTTCAGTTTCATTCTATCCTGTTCTGCACAGTAAAGGGTGCCAACTCCCAGGCTGAGAAGGAGTTGTTTAATTAAGGGCAGGCAAATGGAGGTTCAGAGTTTAAAACCTCCCTCTGCAGGCCTCTGACAGAGCTTTCTGCATCCCCAGATATGTGAGAGTGGAGAGAGAGTCACAAAGAGGGTGAGCTGGACTGACAGGCCACCTTTGAGTTAGAACAATAAGAAACTGGTCATGAGTTGACATTTTAAGGGAAAACAAAAGGCAAATTTGATCACTTGTGCATAAGTGATGGGCTTCACTTTTGCAAAGTATTTCTAGGAGTAGGAAGGCACTCTCTCTTCTTTCCCATCATAACATCAGTAGATGTACTCTGAAGAACATTGGTTTGTTTTTAAAACTTGGATACTACATTTAAACAATGCTTTATTTTACAAATGCTTTGAAGAAGGTGTAGGGTTTTAGATAGCTATACTGGCATATGAAGTATCTACCCAAATGGCCACCTGGCTTGATGGTTTCTCCAGGGTTTGGCAACTACATTTGCTGAGCTATAAAACTCGAGCTGCACTAAAACTGAGGGCCAAGAATATGGTGTGCAGAACTGGGAGAATGAAGAAGCCTGAATTTGGTGGTATCTTTATGATATTCTAAAGTAGAAAGTCAGCAAACTATGGCCTTTGAACCATATCTAGCCCATGCCAATTTTGTAAGTAAAGCTGGAACACAGCTAGATCCTTTAAAAGAAAACAAAAACATATGGTCTATGACTGCTTTTTCACTACAAGGTCAGTGTTGAGCTATTGCAACAGAAACCATATGGTCCACAAAACCTAAAATATTTACTATCTAGCCCTGTTCTAAAGCATCTTCACCCTCTAATGGGGTAGTCATTGTTGGTTTAATTCAGGGAATGCCAATCAGATACTTATGTCTTTAAAAATACCATCATATTTCAAGACACCTACATACATATAACTATAATGCCCAGAGAAAGACACCTGTTGTCTTCCTCATTGACTATCCATGTCATCTGAGGATCATCCAGTCACTTACTGTTAGCAGTTTAGCAGTTTAACCTCAAGGGTCGGTGTCATCATGGGCCAAAATGAGCTTCTATTTACAAATTTGACTACATTTTTTGTTTTGAACACTTTTCACACTGAAATGAATCTGAACAACAAAGGATTGGGTTACTTCATATTGTTATTACATGTTCATATTGATATTCCCTCATATGTTGAAAAGCACACTAAAATTTGTCTTTTTAGCTTTAAAATGAAAAGATTGCAATGTTATTTGGAATCATAGATGCTCAGCTTGAAACTCACTCTAGACTTTTCTAAGACCTCTCCTGAGCAATGTTTTGAGACTCATAGGCAGGACAAAGTAGCCTAGGCATATTGGTCTCTTTCCCAGAAAGAAAGAGAAGAGATTGGGCATCTTGCTGACAATCTCAAGACAAACTAGAGATGATCTTGAGACTTACACTCATTTTGAACTAGAAGGAGGCACAGAAGCACCTGGGCAGGTTGAAGGAGCCTGGCATATTTCAGAGAATATGCCCCTCTGATGTGTCCATTTCTGCGGCACTTTGAAAAGATATTGAAACCCTGATGTATCCTATCATATAAACTAGGAAGAGTTTTAGCAAGGACAGTGTGACCACAGTGTACAAATGTAATATAAAATCTTATCCATGAGCTCACACAGCACCAGGTCACCAGGCTTTGCTCCTAAATTTGTTTGTTGCCTATTTGGTTCTCCCCAGAATATGTTGGCATTCAAATAGATGCCAGCAGCAACAGATTAAGAGAAAGGCATGGAAGAAAATCTGTAAATTAAGGAAAGTTTTCTCTTTTTTCTTATTTTTTATTGTTGACACTATTACATATGAACCCCATTTCTCCTCTTTGCCCCCCTCCACCCAGCAAGAAAAGTTTTCCATTAGCATTTAAATTTCCTTTCAATGGTGCAAGATTGCCATTATTATCCAAGTTTGGGGACATCAGTGTTCTACAGAAGGATAGCTTCAGAACCACCATCAGTGTATAGGAGACTATCTTTCTCAGTGTGTTTCTGGTGAGCCATCAGGCAATGATCACAGTCATTTTGAGACTTTGACTCATAAGTGGCTTTCCCCAGCTCATGCATCAATTCATCAGGAAGAAAACATGCATGGAATTCGTGAAGGTGAAGAGCCAGTATCACTGCTGCTGCAGTGCCTGGGAACAGGACTCCATGTCTGTGACTTCCCAAGCTAATGGAAGTCCATTAGGCCTTCAGGACTGTGTCACAGCAATCACCAGCCACCAGTAAAAGGATACTTCCATGTGCTCTCTTAATCCTTGATGCCCAAAAGTGTGGTCCTCAGAACAGCAGCTTCGCCATTATGTGGGAGCTCCTACTTGTGCATGTAAGCATGTGAGAAGGACATCCCAAAATATAATGGCAGTTCTTAATCTCTGTTCTGAGCTGTCTCTTCAGCTTATTCCTCCCACCTCTTCCTGTTTTCCTTAGACACTCCTGGATTCCAATCTTGCTTCTTACTCTTTCATTTGCCATACGATCAGCACAGAACTATTTAGCCAATCACTGCATTTCTTCCCATTCCTTGAGCATACTGTTCTTGCCCTATTCACCCAGATTCTTCTGCTTCCAAGAATCCTTTCCATACCTCCTGTCTTCACTTTTTTAATCTTTAGATTTGGCTTAGACATCACTCCCTGTAGGAAGCCTTGGTAAGTCTTCAAGTGTGGGTGTGTCCCACTCGTCTGTTTTTATAGGCCCATTGTTTCTCCTCTCCTAGGACCCATCACATTCCACTGTGATTTTTGGTTTGCCTGCTTGTGTGCCCCTTTAGACTGGGAGCTTCATGAGGCCGGTGCTTATTTGTTTGGTTCCCTCTTTACCTCAGCACCCAATACACTATAATTTTTTAAAAAAAGGTTTTATTTGTTGATCTCTGTCTTAAAATTATTGTCGCTTAGCTCTCACCTCTGGAACGAGGCAAGCCTGGTCTGAGAGCTTCCAATTCTGGAACTGAAGCTTGCCGGACTGATGGAACAGGACTAGCCTTCCACAAATAACTGGTGGACAAATAAGCAAATGAGTGAACAAACTACAACATTGTCTATCTGACTAAAATTGCACATTTTATTAAAATGTTGCTCAAGCAACAATAATTTTAAGAACAGAGATCAACAAATAAAACCTTTTGTTTTTTAAATGGAAGAAAATGTTTTTCCTGTACTCACTTCCCTGAGTGCTGACAATAGTAAACATTGTTCACACTTCCTCAAACATTGCATTATGATCTGAGGATTCTTTTTAAAGCTTTGCTTGCTTTATATCGCGGGGATGTGTTTGTTTTCCAGTTAAGAACCTTAGGTCTCATTTAAAACTCAGGAACTTTAACAGTAGGTGATTTGAATCAAGAATCAGACTAAATCTAACTTTAAATTAGGAAAAAGATTTTCTTTAATGTACATACAAGAGTTATCTGAGATTCTGAGCCATCAAGCAACAGGACTTTTTCTTTACTCTCCTCTCTTCCCTTGTTCCATACTTCCAGAAAGAGACAGCCTGGAAGACACCAATATTTCTGTCAGCATTCCTTGCCAGGCCTGCCTCTGCAGCCACTCACCCAGAGTCCAGTGACTGTCATTCTTCTGTGCTATGTAAACTTACTGTCACAGGAGTGCATGCTGTCAGGCCAGGGCGGATGTTAACATGGGGGTAGAAAAATGCCTCTCTTCCAGAGGCTGCTTCAGATATCACCAGGCTCCTTCCGTTTTGTAGCATCGTCATTCCCTAAGCCAAGGGTCCTAAAGTGGTCTCTGAGCTAGGAGTGTCACCAGCGATGTTGGCTCTTG